AATATCACAAAAATATCCAAGTGCAAACATTAAGTTTAAACATAACAACAACATAAAGGTTTAAAATAGGCTTCAACTATCAAGCAAAAAGATTTAATAACTTCAATGTACACATCCAATAGCAGGTAGTTCAATCTCAAAATAATATTCTTCTAGTAGTAATGCACCATAAATAAAAAGTACGTAGTAATAAACTGACCAGTAATATTTATAATTTACTATGAACAAGTAACAATATAATCAACGGAATATTATTCCCTATTGTGAACTCAAAAAACAAATACAATCACAAACAAATAATAGATATAAAAATTGACTAAAGTAGTAAAATAACAGCTACTCGAATTGGTGTGATCCACAATATATAAGGTATATTATGAAAGACAAATACTTCTGACAAGAATTTCCTGCCCGGAACGTCATCTGGCCACCTCCATTTGAGGTGCTTCCGGGTAGAGTTTTTTATTATATTTAGTGAGAATGTTCTACATGCAGTGGAGATTACATCCACCAAATTTCAGCTTAAAATACAATCGGGAAGTGAGTTAAATAAAATATTGAAAAACATTGTGTTTTTTTATATGTATTTTGACGTAGTGTTTTTCAATAATTTATTTAACTAAATTCCTGATTGCATTTTAAGCTCAAATTTAGTGGACATAATCTACATTTTATTGAAAACAAGCTCACAAAATTTCATCAAAAAATTCCACCTAGAAGCACCTCAAATGAAGATTACTCATGCAATGTATAAGAAGTTCGGTTCCTGTATAGGAACCGGAACCGAACTGGAACCGAACCGGAACCGGACCGAAAAAAGATGAAGTCCAGAATTATAGGAAATTAGGAACCGAACCGAACCGGAAAATTCGGTACGGTTTGGATCTGTTTTCCCGGTTTTACGGTTCCAAGTCCCGGGCCTAAAATTGTTCATAAGAACATATGTGATGTTTTGAAGGGCAAAAAAGGCATAAATTGGTGATTTATAACTTAATACACGTTGTGGTTAAGTTTGACACAAATCAGATTTGAAATGGTGGGTCAACGAAGCGTTGACCGGTTGCCCAGCAGGCAACCGACACCGGTTATGGGTAGGACCAGTGTCGGTTTGGGTGTGGGGTGCCCTGTTCAATTAATTTAATTATGAATCGGCACCGATCAAGTCTGAACCGGCGTCGGTTTGGTACTGTTTTGCCTATATGTTGATTTATGTGCATGATTTTGCATGGATTGTTATGCTAGGTTGTAAGATTTGGCTTAGTCTTATTTTTTGATTATGATATAGACCATATCTAGTATGATACGTGGTAGATCATAGGTCGGGTGGAGTACCTAAGGATTGGGTGTGTATCCTCAAAACTTGGTTATGTCGGGTGGAGTACCCAAGGGTCGTATGTGTATCCTCAAAACTCGATTATGTCGGGTGGAGTACCCACTGATCGGCGTGTATCCCCAAAACTCAGGTATGTAGGGTGAAGTACCCAAGGATCGGGCGTGTATCATGAAAACTCAGAATATAATCGGGTGGAGTACACAAGGACCGGGCGGTGTCCTCAAAACTCATAGACTATGGTTAGTACTTCAGGACTGGGTGGTGTCCTTATGATATTTGATTTGGACCAGGAGGAGTCATATACACTCATAGGTATATGGGTGGGTTGGGATTTTTATTTAATGGCATTCACTACTACTATTTGACCTATGGGTCGGGTATTTCCAAGTGTATATATACTGATATGTATTTCATAACTTGGGGAAAAGGAATATATGTGTATGTATCACCCTATGTTTGGGTCTTATACTTGAAACATTAGCTATGTTACATTCAGCTTACTGCTCACTCGGTATTCGCGAACTGACCCCTTCGGGGGGCCACCATTTCAGGTTGAAGCTAAAGCTTCCTGTCTGCACCTTTGCTCGGTGAAGTAATCTCAAGGAAGACACGGTTCGTACTTCCTTTATTGTTTTGAAAACTATAAACACTTGCTCATTGATATTTTATTTACTACAAACTATTTTGGGCATGCGAGCCTATGTTTTGGACGAATGTGGTCCATGATGGCATATTGAATATTTCCATAATGTGATGTTATGTATGTTTACTTACTGAGTATGATATGAACGATGTTCATGAACGCCTCGTATGATTAAGTGACTTTGACTTGCGAGCGACGTCACTTGATCATACGGCAGTTGTACACGCGCTTAAATGCGGTCTGGGTATGACAATTAAGTGATATAAGAGGCATCTCAGTTTCTAAACTATGCAATCAACCTCTCACAAGAGTTTTACAAAAAGAGTTTATCGAAAACCATGAGCATTGTATTTTGGTGCTTATAATATTATTGTTACAAATTGCAAGGTCTCTAGTTGTTAAGATGATACCCTTAACAATTGCTATGTCAGTGACTTGGGCCAATAAGCGTCCATAACGTTTTCCGTCAATTGACATTGATAAGAGTCTAACGACTCGTCCAAACTTTCTTTCAGAAATGGAAGGTAGACGCATACCGACGAGGAAAAATTTGAGGGGGCAAGCGTTGGTAGCTTCCATTGGGGCTAGACGAGATGCATCTCGAGTCTCTAGAGGGAGAAAAAGGGGCCGTGGAGGCCGTCAAGACCAAACTATAAGTGAGGCTAAGTTAGCTCGGTGTTTGATACGAACACCAGAGAAGATGACTCAACTTATGTTCCCGAGACAGGACATGAAGAGACCCCATATGATGGGGGTGATTTCCACACCGATGAGGAGAACAATGATGAGAGTGATGCCCGTTTCGCTCAAATGGGAGAATTAATCGAATGGTACCATAAAGAGAAGCAAAGAACAGATCTTAGACGCCAAGCTAAGCGTGCCTCTCAAGGAGGCTCGGGTCAAGGAAGACGGGGAGCTTCAAGGACTGTTTTAGGGACGTCCCAAGGTGGATGTGGGGTAGATTTTTACGTGAGAATCTCCAAATACCTCAAGGAGGCTAGGGCCTTGGGGTGTAAGTCCTTCGACGACACCGCCGACATTACCGTTGCCACCGATTGGATTAAGAAGGTGAAGGATGCATCCAGGGACATGCAAATCACACCTGCCATGAAACTAACTATTGCTTGAGGGAATGACTTCTACATGATGGAAAGGTGTAGAAGGGAAGTACCGTGGGGCAGTCTCATGGGAAAACTTTGAACATGAGTTCTATGCTCAATACTACTCCGACTACGAAGTTAATGTAAAGCGGAGGGAGTATACCAACCCCATGCAAAAGGAATGTGGCACTGTGAAGCAGTTGGAACAAGAGCTTAGAACCTTGGTGAGGTTCTTACCGGAGTATGCAGCTGATGAGGACCGCATGACAAAGTATTTTTGGGATGCCCTACTTTTGAACATCCGTGACCGGGCTGCGTATTCACGCCACATGACTTTTAGTGAAGTGGTGGAACAAGGCTTCCTTGGGGAAACCCAATGGAATGAAAGAAAGGCAAGGGATGCTGAGGAGGCGAAGAAAAGGAAATGGAACAGTTCAGGACCAACCGATCATTCCCGAAGCAAAAACCACGGGGGTGGTGGTTCATTCAGAGCGCACTAGCGCCGCCGGCGAAGAAGAATACGGATGCAAAGTGGCACGGACATAGGCATCAGAACTCGGGGGTACCTAGATGTCCCAATTGGGAAGTGTAATGAACCACCGAGGTGCTTCAAATGCGGGAATGCGGGCCATATGAAGGCCAATTTTCCTGAAATGACGTAAGGGAACGCATCGGGAGCCGGAGGAGGGGCCATGACAGGAAGGAACCGTGCGGGATCGACACACGGCGACACGGGGAGGGGCGGCACATGTGGTGGCCGGTGCACTGGGCAGAAGGAGTACGTCAGGGACGTTACTCACATGCCTACGGACATTGAGGGCACTTGTGGAGGTGTCCATGGACAGGGCCCTAATAGCGAGATTCGAAGTTAGACCTGCCCTACTTGATGAGATCAAGAGATGCGAGGGCATTTACGAGGAATGTCTGAAGATCCGTGAACGGATCCTTGTGGGACCCATTGAGAATTTCAGGGTACGAGAAGATGGCCTCTTATTGTTTAGAGATCGTGTATGCATACCGAAGAACGAAGAGCTCCAAAAGTCTATATTTGTGGAGGCTCATTCTTCGGCCTATGCTATGCATCCGGGAGGTATAAGGATGTACCGAGACTTGAACGAAAGTTATTGATGATCGGATATGAAAAGGGACATCACGGAGTATGTGAGTCAGTGCCTTACTTGCCAACAAGTTAAGGCGGAACATCAGCACTCGGCGGGGCTTTTGCAGCCACTTACCATTCCGGAATGGAAGTGAGAACATGTGACCATTGACCAAGCTATACACGGAGGATCCAAACACCTATAACCTTTGTATAACCTTTGTATCCTGATGCATGGCCAATAAAAACACACTGGACAGACCGTGGGGAAAGTTTATTTGCGGAAGATGCAATAAAATTGGGATAACATGCAGTGCCAAAAATACGAAGAAAAGAAAAATGCAGTGGCTTGTGAAACAATTTTTGATATTGAGAAAATCTTTGTAAAAGAGGGGAAGGGGGTCTGTTAATGATGTGTGCAGCAGTAAAAAGAACATCTACCCAAAATTGACTCGGAATGGAAGCTTCAACAAGCATGGTTCGAGTCAATTCCATGAGATGACGGTGTTTGCGCTCAGCAACCCCGTTTTGCCGATGTGTGTCAGAACATGATTTTTGAAAACAAATCCTATGATCATTAAAAACATGCTGCATAGCAAGATTAACAAATTCACCTCCACCATCACTTTGAATTTTTTTAATTTTCTGATTAAAAAGATTTTCAACCAGAGATTTAAAATTTTTAAAGTGATGAAAAACTTCACTTTTCTTATGCATTGGATGAATCCACGTAAACCGAGATAAATCATCAATAAAGGAGACATAATATTTAAATCCCAAATTAGACAAAACAGGCGATTGCCACACATCGAAATGAATTAATTGCAAAGGTAACCAACAATTATGACTAGCATTAGAAAACGGTACACGTTGAGATTTGCCTAGACGACAAGCAACACAGCTATGAGAAAAATTGGAACTACTACATAAGAGTTTTTGACGTTTAAGAAACTGTAATATAGTGTCACTACAGTGACCTGGCCTACGATGCCACACAGGACCAGGAGCTATCACAGACGAAAGAGCAAGTGGAGGATGACGCAGACTGAGAGGATAAAGAGACCCACTACTCGTAGCTTGTAGAAGCACCGCTCCCGAGGTTTTGTCCTTAACAAAAAATGAATTTTTATCAAAAACAACAAAACAATTGTTATCATCACACAACTTTTTAATAGAAATTAAATTATATTTTATATGGGGCACATGATAAACAGATTTGAGCACAGCCAGAAGAAGGTCAGGAAACATCACCAATATGACAGATAGGGAGTTGGGCACCATTAGCAACACTAACCGAAGTAGAGCCACAATAAGTAGATTTATTCAACAAAATACCTTCAGAACTAGTCATGTGAGCAGAAGCACCGGAGTCCGGGTACCACAAGGCCTGATTAGCATCTCCGGGAGGCGTCTGCAAGGCCGATGCAGAAGGATGATTGAAGCGAGAAGGACATAAAAAAAAGTAAATAAAAAATAAACCCATCTGAAGAGAAACAGATTTGACAAACTATGGGTGGTGGGACGGATCCAAGAATACCCCCATCTGAAGAGAAGTCTGCATATCCAACATTAGTAACACCAACACGAGACACATTAATATTTAAATTTGACACAGATGAACTAACTAATACAGTACCTGATGAAGCGGGAGCAAAACCACCCCCTGGATGTGTGCTGGGACCTGTCGGAGGAGTCGGCTGATAATGCTACGACTGAGGGCCATACGGTTGGGGCCCATATGGCTGCTGACCGTACGACTGCTCATGCGACTGTCTTCCGCGGCCACGACCCCCTCTCCCTCGGGGCGCATAAACTGGAGGACGTGGAGCATTCTGACCATTAACACCTGCTCCAAAAGCTTGATGAGTGCTAAGAGAGTCCTGCTGCTTAAGATATAACACCCGTTGTTCTTGCTCAAGTAGATGTGTCCTCAGTGTCTCAAAGGGAAATTGTTGGGGAAATAGGGAGACAGTAGTAATGAGAGATTCATAGTCAGGCCCTAGCCCCATACTAATAGACTGAAGTAAATCCCGATGAGTCACTGGACAATTAATCATCGCAAGAGCTTCTGTCAAAGTTTTAACTTCCCTAAAATGGTGATCCATAGACCGATCAGATTTCTTCTTAAGATGATTTAACATACGTTTTAATTCCATAAAGCGGGCTAAACTAGCCGACATAAAAAGGGATTCTAAACGATCCCAAATTCTAATAGAATGTCTAACATCGTGATCGAACATCAACTAAAACATCCTCAGACAATGTAGCAAAAAACCAGGCACGAATAGTTTGATCAATGTGCAACCAAAATGAATATTCAGGATTTGTCTATTTTGCATGTCTACGGAATAGAGAGGAGGTACCTGAATAGAACCATCAATCATGCCGAGAAGGCCCTGAGACACCAGAAACGACTCAAATTGAGCCCTCCAAGTAACATAATCTTCTATCGCCTGAAGCTTTGTAGTCATGATGTGAGTGACGTTTGTAGAAACATGAGAAATACTCTGCGCCAAAGCTGCCATGGGAGAAAAAATGGCAGCAGTAGGTTGTCCAGGCAAAGCAGAAATCGCAGATGAAGAGGCTCCAGGTGAGCCCGCAAAGGTAGGTCCGAAGTACGGCCCACTAACAAGGTATGGTGGCTCTAGTGTCATAGAACACAGTGGGTCCAACGTCAAAGGAGGGGCTGACGTTGGCGGCATCCAAGTAAATCGGGGCGGCAGATTATCGAAGAGGGAGAACTGGACCGAAGACGTCGTTGGTGCCGTGAACTATGTGGTGAAGGGGGAAGAAGTGTCGTTCACGGAAGCTAGAGCGGGCTGCATCACTTGGGACATGGTGGCGCCAATTGGAAAAGTCGGCGCTACAATAGTGGATGTTAGTCGCGACTGAAGCGGAGTTGGTGCCGGAGAAGAAGCCTGGTGGGCAGAAGCAAAGGCCGAGGGTGCAACCAAAGTCATGGCTGAGGGAGAAGTCATGAAGACGCGGAAGAAGAGAGAGGATCGAAAACAAATTAGATTTTACCGTTAAAGGGTGCTGACAGGTCTATTTATAATAAAGAGTCACAATGTAAAAATACATAAATATACCTAGACTATTACCGGGTACCCGGCCGGTCTTAGGTCAGGTACCCAACCGGTCTAGGGTCAGGTCCCTGACCGGTTTGGATGCTATATTTTTTTAAAGTATTTAATATTTTTATGTTATTTAATAAACGAAAAATGTTACTCCCTTCATCCCGTGGAAAAATTCTCACTTTCCTTATTTGGGTGTCTCATTTAAAAGTTCTAATTTCATTTTAGGAAATAATGCACTCTTTAATTACACATTTACTCAAATTTCTATTTCCTGCTCATTACATGTGTCTCACAATTTCCACTCCCCCAACTTATATCCCTTTAATTACTTTGACTTTATATGTTTACTTTTTCTAAATATTCTCTTTCCTCTATTGTTTACCCAAATACTTTATTTAATCATTTGCCTAAAAAATCATGTCATTTACTCACAAGATGACATTAAAAATATTGAATGTAAATTTATTTGAAATATTGAATTGATTTTTACATTTATAAATAACAATAGAAAATAGTTATTTAAAAGTGTTTCCTTGGTCGGTTGTTGCTTCCTCCATGAAGTGGTGGGTGATATTATTTTTTCACAACTGAAAGTTTAGAATGTTAATTGCACCCTCATAAATGCGCTATGTATTTAAATTATTTACTTGACCCCATCAACTATTATAAATCTTATCTCAAATTAAAAATCTAAAATATAATTTATTATATATTTTTTACCAAGTCAATTAAACACTTATAGTCAAATTCATGTGTTGACAAATATCAAAATAAAATTGTTTTAGTTACACATGGATCAGAGAGGTAATAATATTTATTTCACATATTGAAGGTAAGAATGTCAATAGCAACCTGGTAGTATATTTAAAATATTTACATAACATCATAAATTTTTATTTGTGTGAAAAAATATCATTGTGCTAAAATAATTTTGTATAAGTTCATGTATTTGTAATACATATGTAAATTGAGATTCTTTCATAAATATTATTAAAATATAATTTATTGTTAAAACTATTATCAAGGTTACTATGCATATTCACTGTAGCATAGATTTGAACACAATAATATTACTAAAGATAACTATAGACAAAAAGAGATCTTTTTTAATTACCAAAAATAAGACTTAAAATTGGTATGAGGGCTAGTATACGCTCACTAAGCCGGGTTGACTCATATAGTGACCAACAATACAGTGACTAGTTACAGTTCTCTAATCCGATTAGCTATAGTTACCTGACCCGACCAGATACACTTACCTTACTGGACAAGTTATAGTTGCCCCAACTCGACCAATTACAATTACCCGACCAGTTATAGTTATCCTACCCAATCGGTTACAGTTACGCAGCCCGATCAATTACAATTACTCGACCCGACCATTTAAGTTACTCGGTCCGATCAATTATAGTTTACTCAGTTCGATATTGACCAGCTCTAGCCGCCACCGCCGAGCACCACCACCTACCGCTACCGCTAACCACCGAGGCTGCCAGGCTGGTAATATGTCGTCACCCACCAGTGGCGGTTACCACCTCACCCCTGCCCTCTCCAACGGCTATCCACCCCAACCAATCTCCAACCCCAAAACTAACCCCCTCTCCAGCCCACCCTCAGAATCCCCCGTCACTCCACCCCTCCATAACAAGTACAGTCACCATTAGGGGTGGATTCGGTTAGGGCCACCCGGCCCATTACCCGGCTCGGCCCGGTACTGTGCGGGCCCGAGATCGGGTGTAGACCCGAACCGGTGGGAATGGGCGGGGCGGGCACGGTTCCGGAAAAATGTGACCCGGCCCAGCCGGGTCGGGCCCGAGTCCAACGGTCCTATTTTTTTTAAAAAATATTTTTGTTAAATACTTACTAGCAGTTATGGCCTTGGGAGGTGGGCTGGGGACAACCCAAATGGCTATATAGCCGTTGCGTGGGGTGCAGGGGGGTCCGGGGGGGTTGGGTGGTGGGGGTGGTGGTGGTGGGGGGTAAAAAACCCTATAAATACTTCTAATCTTAAACATTTTTTCATATCTCTTCTCCAATTCTTCCTAAATCCTATTCTTAACACTCTACTCTCTAATTCTCTTATTCTCCAATATATTATATTTATTATTTATAGTTTATATTAATTATCTACTTATATAAACTATAAATAGATACAAATAGTATTATATTACTTATATTTGTTATCTAATTATATATTACTTATATATTTATTATATCTATTAATATAGTTGGAATTATATCTGATGGATAGTGTACCCGGGGGGTAGCTTATCCGAGGGGTTATTACGGAGAATAACTAGAGAGAAGTCAGAGCAAGTAAGTATAGAGAGAGAAAGTATATTAGAAAGTGTTCAGTGTTTTCAGCGTGTGTTGTGACTTGGTTACAAATGGGGAAATGAGGTGCTATTTATAGTAGCAATAAATGCCGGACAGGGACACGTGTCAAGCGTTCATTGGCCGAGGGGTCACCTCAACTGGTTGGCGCTGACAACTGCATGTGGCCACATTTAATGCGGCTGTTGGATGGGACGTTGTACAGGGTACGGTGATCCATATGCATGTGGAGCGGATATCATGTCGGAAAAGGTACCCTCGGCTGTAGATGACTAGCCGAGGGCTCTGAGTACCGGGGACCCCCCTTAGTGCCGAGGGCTCCAGTTGCCGAGGGCTACTGATTTTCGTCATTTTCTCCTAGTAACTTTGTTTTCCAGTCTTGGCCCTTCTGTGAGAATTAGAGCCTTCGGCCAAGGGGCCGAAGGCACCCCTGGTGCGCATTGTGGGCTGCTTGGTGCTCTGGGCGCTGTGATTTGGGCCGGTTGTGCTTTCTGGGCATGTTGGGCCCTCATTGGAGTAGTAAGAGTCTGTGGGCCGGGGGTTCCCGGGCCATATACTCCATCAATATCTAATTAATTTGAAGTCATTCTATTACTCCCATCCGAAAGACCGAAAGTCCGAAAGAGGTACGAAATTATTCTATTATTTACACTTGTTTAATTTTGTATTAACGTTACTTGAAAAAAAACTAGTTAATTAGGTTGTACAATTTGCTATAACTCTAATTAATAGTTAGATTAATAGTTAATTACTTTATTAAAAAATAGTTAATTAGGTTGTACAATTTGCTACATTTGACTCTAGTTTAAAAAACTAGTTGTAATTCTAATTATAGTTAAAGTTAAAGTGTATTAATTTCATTGTTAGTAAAAAAATATGTTGTACACAAAACTAGTTAATTTGCTATAACTCGAATAAATAGTTAGATTAATAGTTAATTACTTTTTTACAATTTTTTATTAATCGCTACATTTTTTAGATGAATCATCCTAGATATTCGGTTGATATGGGTAACCTCGAGCGCAACCGAACGAAAGAGCTTGCGAGGAAGAGATCACGCAAAGGTAACTCACATATCGGTTCTTCATCTCAAAGTCGAGATGATTTTGATACGGGTTACGCAAGGAGGGATGGGGATGCGATGACCGTCGAACAACTAGAACAAGAATTGCACCGACATAATTCCCGCTTTTTTCAAGACCAACCGAGGACCATTGACGAAGAAAAGCTCGAGGACCACGATGTGGAGGAAGTAATTCCGGAGAGCCACGACGACGAGGAAGAGGAGGGTGGCGGCAGCCATGACGCCGACCAACCTACCTCATCCCAAACAGGTACAAAAAAAGTAAATCTGAACTAATGACTAATAATTTTTCTAAGTGGAAGAACCCGAACACCGGGAATTGGACCGCAACTTGCAATTGGTGCAAGAAAAACTATAGCTTGGGGATTTCCGGCGGATACGGATCCGCCACAAGACACCTTAAATCCAAACACCCGGTGGAGTATGCAAAATTAGGCGGCGGAACGGGGAAGCCAACGCAAATATCGAGGTTTGCAAATAACCAACAAGCTTTTGGTAACTTCTCATACAATGATGCACAAAATTTGACAGGTATGACTAACTTACTTGTTGAAGAAAATTTGCCTTATTTGTTTTCTGAAAGTCTTACTTTTCGTGATTATGCACAAACTTGTTTAAATCCGTAATATAGAGGTTATAGTCACAAAACGGTTAAGAAAGAAATTTCAAGACTTTATGGTGAGAAAAAGGTAAGGTTACAAAATTATTTTGCAAACTTTGATGGACGTGTTACTGTATGTTCTGACATATGGGAGGATACTTATCATAATTTACATTATTTGAGTCTTACTGTACATTATATTGATAATGATTGACATATGCATAAACGTGTTCTTGCTTTCCGTGAATTTAATGATCGTCACACCGCTGAACATATTTATATTTTGATTGAGCGTATTTTAATTGAGTATAATTTAATTGATAAGGTGTTTGCTATTGATTTTGATAATGCTACAACCGATGGTGGCTCTACCTATGCCGGAGATTCCGATTGAATGATTGATTAGTATTTCATGTTTTAAAAACAATTGTAGTTCTTATTTAATTTTCAAATGTAGTTCCTATTTCATTTCAAATAAATGCACTTGAAGTTTGTTTTTTAATACTTGTATAAAACTATCAAGTATAAAATATAAATTATAAAAACAAATGAAAAATATTTAACCGACCCGGCCCGGCGGGTGGCCCGACCCGTGACCCGGGCGGGTGGCCCGGCCCGAACCGGTCCCGTCCAACCCTTGGGCCGGTCCTGGGCCCATATGATACGAACTGGCGGCCCGACCGGGCCTAGGCCTGGCCCGAGCCATGACTAGTCGCCATACAGTCAACAGTCCCACCTAACAACGCTCCTGCAACCCACGCCCAACCTCCTAGTCCCTCTTGTCCCACCTAGCAACGCCCCCGCAACCCACATCCAAACTCCTAATCCATCTAATTGTCAAATCAATAACCGCTTGTGTGGTTGGGTGTTGAATGTCGCCGCCCCAATCCGTAACCACTGACGTTGCTAGGCTGTGAATGTCACAGTCCCAACCAGTTACCGTCGATGTGGCTGGGCGGTGAATATCATCACCCCAACTAACTAACCTCATTCCCACCCCCTTCTAAACCCATCCTCACCCCGGCACCACCGGCCACCTCTCTTGATATCATACCACTTCTTCAAGCCCCTCCCCAACCCCACCCTACGTGCCATCCCTAACCGCATTTGCTGAGGCCCTATAACCCTAGCTGTGATCGCGGCTGACCCCGTAACTCTACTTGCACCACCAACCCACCTCCTTAGGCTGAACTCACATCTCCATCGGCCACATTGGCCCCAGACTTTACTCGTCGACAGGTGAAGGCTATAGCCACACCCTTGCCAACTGCATTGACCCCTAAACTCACCAGGTGAAGGTAGGGATGGACTCGTTTCGGGCCGGACCTTGGTTTGGACCAGGCTTTTTTTTTAAGTTAGACCAGGAAACTGAGCCAAGTTGCTCCGGGCTCGGGTCAAGCCGATTCACAGGTCGGGCCGAGCAAGTCCGGTTCACCCCATTTTCTTTTTATTTTCTAATTACTTCCTACCCCCCCCCCCCCCCCCCATCGCTCCCACACACTTAAAACCCCTCCAAAACACCCAACTTATTCCCTTTAAAAAAAATGTAAAAAAAATGGCCCGAACCGGCCAAGCCGATTCATCAAAATCAAGGCCCGAGAACCGGCCCTCTACAATGCCGGGTCGGTTGGCCCGCACCGCTCAACTTGCCGTGGACCAGGCCAGTTCCGGGCCAGAACAATGCTGGTTCAGGCCAGTTCCCTAGGTGAAGGCCACAAGCCCACAACCATCTTTTTCACCTATGGTCCTCGTCACCAGTTACAACATGGAGGAGGCGATGGCGACTATGCAGCCTGGATTGGTCATTGGTGCAACGACGACGATTGGTTCGACCCTGAGGAGGAGGGCCTAAAGAACATGGTAGTCGTAGTCTTGCATTTTGCAATTGTTTTAATCCCATTTAGGGAATTTACTCTATAATTAATCAATTGTTTACCCAAATTAGTAAACAGTCCTATTTTTGTCCAAGCAAGTGCTGACTGTGCTGGTAGTATTTTTGTCACTACTTCTAACTGACTAACTATAATAATCACGAAATCACAAAAAAATCTGCCTTTATTTCAGTCTCAGTCACAAACACATATAAACGTTGCACGTAACTTTTATTCTTTCAAGCAACTCCTTACAAATAAAAAAATGTAAAGCCTCAAACTTATTGAGAGTCAGTTTTAATATACATTCAGTTTGTCAAATAAAAGCGTAATTTTGTGTCGAAATCAATTATTTACTCTTTTTCATTCACTATAAAGTATGACATGGAGTTGTAGTTGATGAAGAAGAGTCCAATAGCCTTATTCTACGACCATTTTAAAGCAAGATATCCAATGACTCCTAGCAAGATATCCAACGACTCCTAAAGTGTAACCAGGACAGCGAGTCACTGAGAACAACAAAAGTCATTGTTTTTTCAGGTTACTGGACGTCTGGACCTTGAAATCACTGGTTGGTCACTGGTGATTAGCCGATTAGGGGTGGAGTGGTGGACCGTGGACCTGGTCCGACAGTCAATCCCAGTCCAAAACCGGATCTGGTACTGTGGCACCGAACCAGTCCAGGAATACAGTCCCGATTCAAAACCAAGTACCCAAAATCCCAAATGGGTTTCCGGTGGGCCCAGTCCCGAGTTCCAATATTCAGGACCAAACAGGGCAGTTCTGGTCTCGATTTCAGTCCCAGACAGACTAATTTTTTTTAGCTTTAAACTGGTTAAAGAAATAGGTCCAGGTCTACTACCCAAAACCGGACCAGATCCAGAATATAGCAATTCTTTTAGAGATTAGGATATTAAAGTAAACATATACTCCCTCCGTAACCATAAAGCAACTTGATCCATGTGCACACTCAGATTATTTTTAGTAAATTAAATTTACATATTCAGAAACTACATCAAATCCGCTACAAAGGCTGATCAATAAAATTTAAGTTTGATAAAAATTTGATATATAAAGTAAAAGTTTAAGAATAATTTGAGTTGACCGTGTGAATAGTAACTATGAAGATAATTTTGGGACGGAGAGAGTATAACAAGATTGCATTGTACTTTGTACCTCAAGTTACACACTAATATTTGACTTTTACCGTTTTACGTGGCTCAAATTTACAATCAGATCAGGTGGGATCCGCCATGTGGAAATTTAGGCATGGACTCAATTCGGGTTGGGCCGGGTCTCGGTTTGGTTCAAATTGGGCTTTTTTGTAAAAGTTAGGCCCGGGAACCGGCCCGGTAGCTCCAGGCCTGGGTCAAGCCGGTTCACCCGGCAGATCACATGCCGGGCCGGGCCGGTTCACCCAATTTTTTTTTTTATTTTCTAATTACTTCCTTCCCCCCCACCCCTCCCTCCCCCCCACCCCATCCCAAACCCCTCCAAAACACCCAGCCCAACCCATTTCCTTTTAAAAAAATGTGAAAAAAAATGGCCTGAACTGGCCGGGCCGGTTCATCAAAATCAAGGCCCGGGAACCGCCCCTCTACAGTGCCGGCCCGGTTGGCCCGAACCGCTCAACGAACCGTGGACCGGGGGTTCGGGCCAGTTCCAATTCGGTTAACCTAGCCCGAGTCCATCCCTATGTGGAATCCGTCAACTATTGACAATTAGACACAACTAGGGTTGGACTCGGGCCAGGCCGGGTCACGCCTAGGCCCGGGCGGTAGTTCAGGAATGGTGGACCCGGGACCGGCCCGAGTAGCCACCGGGTCCGGTCCGGGTCCGGGCCGGGCCTTCGGTTGGTTTTTTTTTTTTGCTTTCCTAACCCCCCCCCCCCTCACCCCCACCCTCCCAAAGCTCCCTAACCATCAACCCCAATGTGAGACCTGAGCCCAGACCCGCAGTACCCACCGGGCCTAGGCCCGACCCGGACCCGGACCCAAGAAATGGGCCAGTCCCGGTCCCGCACAGTAGCGGGCCGGGCCGGTCCCCGGGCTGAGTGGCCCGACCCGAGTCCAACCCTAGACACAACTAACTGATGTGAAAAAGAATCAACATTCCTTGACTGTAGCAAACATAAATACCATAAAATATCTGGACCAACTTCACAAAAAACACCATCTACATGTAAACGAAAATACCAATTCTGCATGCCAAGTAGGCAAGTACAGAGTATTATCCCAGTGATTGTTGTACCAACTATAACATGCGTAGTCAGGTTCCTGCCTGAGCACATAGTAGAGTTAGAATGTGGCAAAGCCTACGAACAATAAAATATTACCTCCGTCCCGAAAAGGTTTGCCATATTGACTTTTCTTGGTCAATGATGGCAATCTTTGGAGAATGATTTTAATTATTATATTTGTATATAATTTATAAATTTAATACTTTTATGAAAATATTTTGAAAAAGGAACATTTTGATATAATTTTCATATTCCAAATATTTTCGTATTAAAAAATATCAATGGTCAAAGTTGAATGTCATTGACCAAGAAAAGTCAATTTGGCGAGCCTTTTCGGGACGGAGGGAGTATCAATCAATAGCAATCTATTCTCAGTTTTAATAGCATTATCCACTTTCTTTAAAGGTCAAGAATAAATCAATAATATACATTTTGAATATAAACTACTAATTCTGCTTTGCGCATCCAAGCTAACCATTTTGGAAAATTTCTTTAACAATCTGCAACCTAACATTACCATCCCAAATTCCCAATATCGGTTCTCAACTAAGGCTAGCCCTCAATTCGCCTCCCACCAAATCCGTATTAGAACAATGCTAACAATAGTAACTGTTAGATGGCCAATATCAATTTTTTTTAAATCAACCCCCCCCCACCCACAAAACAAACAGAAAGGAGGTTGCATTTAAGTTCAAAAGAACAAATACAGTACTTGACCATTCAAGATACTTAAACAAGATAGTTATACACTCCTTATATCCTTATTGTATCTTCTTATATGATTTGCATGCTTTTTACTAGTTTAGTTTATGTAAAGCATCAAAACTGACAATTATACTTACTTAGAGAGAGAAACAATGAAAATTGTGCAATCTTTTCATTTTGAAAGATGGGATAATTTTAGGACAAGAAAAAAGAATAAGATAAGAGGGGTGGAACCTTCTAAGCTCTCAATCAGCATTGTGAGACTGATCGTGCTCGATAAAATCTAAAGCTTCTTCTCTTGAGATCACATTAACTCGGCTAACTCTGTTTCTGTGTGTCACACCATATATTTTGTCAGCAACTTTTACAAGCTCAGGCCTAAATGTTGTTGTTATAAACTGGGTGTTTGCCATATCTGCCATCCTACGAACCATATCTAGAATCCACAAGTTAAAGGTCAAATCCTAAACATAGAAAAAAAATCAATAAACCGGCAAAACATGATGTTCCTTCAGAAGAGTCTACTTCACTACCATGACTACTCTCAGAGAGATGACACTACTTAGAAAACATCACAAAACAATTGCTGGAAATCAAATTTTCAGGACTTTGAGAGAAATCAACAAATGAACTAATGAGAGAGAAAGGGCATTGATAAAAAAAGGATACTTCCGACTGCAGTTCTGTATTGAGGATCCAGTGCAGCATCAATTTCATCAAAGAGATAGAATGGGGCAGGATCGCATCGCTGTATGGCAAATATTAGAGCTAGTGCTACAACTGTTTTTTGCCCTCCAGATAACTGTTTCATAGACTGTGTTTCTCCTTGTCCTGTAAAAGACACCTTCACTTTAACACCAATATATTTCTCAACTCTTCCACCAACCTCAGCTGCACGAGGCCTATCATCAGCATCGTCATTGTCATCCTCCTCACCATCCTGGAGATATATACACTTTTAGGTCCACTCTAGACTAAATAGGGATCCACCTAAGCCTGACTATCCGTAATTCATTATAAAACTGAATAAATTCCAACACAGAGAAGAAAAAATTTAAATTCAGTTAGAGAAAATCCATAGATGTCATTTTCTCTTTCCTTGAAGACTCTAATGAAAGAATAGAAGAAGACTTTTTTGGAAGCAAGGAACAAGGATAACCATTTAGTTGGGAAGAAGGCAGGGAACATGGACACAAAAATCTCGTAGACAACAAACTTGAAAACCGATCATATATAATTATAGTATATTAAAACATGAGAAATATCTTTAAAAAAGTGTGCCTGAAACTCTAGATTGAACTTGGTCAGAGAACTTTTATTTAGAAATATAAATTAATTTCAAATGCAGCAGGAAAGATAGTAGGTTGAGCCAATAAGGCGGAGTTGAATTCAAAGAGTGCAATACCATAAAAATACAATAGTGTCGGTACATATGTTTCTTTAATGAAAAAATAAACGAGGTGGAGGGATACACTAATGCTTCAATTAGCATAGCTGCATGATAAAGAGGATATTCAGATTAAGCATAACATTTTCCTTCATCATAATGAAAGGGGCAGGATAAACTAATGCAAACATATATTTCAATTAGCATAGCTGCATGAGGAAGAGGATCTTCAGAGCAAACCTAACCTTTTTTTTCATCATAACTAAAACCCCGCGGCCACCTTGGACAAGCTCAGAAAATACTTCTCGAAAATGCTTCGACACGCCCTTGAATGTACGCTCAATTGACTCATCCTTTCTCATATCCAGAACTGATATAAGTTCTTTGATTTTCTGACAAATTTAATATAAAACAATGAGGCTGAATTCAACAGAAGCACAGAGCACCCAAGAATGAATAATATACGCCAGGCATACCTCATCACCAGAATCTAGTTCAGCTTGTCTTCTCTGGAGTTCTTCTCTCTGCTCAGTGAAGTTTACATACTGGTCAAATGCTTTTTTATTGACATGGCTAAACTGCTGCAGCTGCTCATTGCACTTATGCAGCAATTTGTACAGCTCTTTTACATTCTTCCTTCTATACCTAGTGATTCCAATAAAAGTATGTGCATAGCCAAGAAATATGAAATGAGTATCTCCAGCCACTCAGTCAGAGACATAAAAATAATGTTTGGAAAAGGAAGTGTACGGAACACAAATAATAATATAATAATAGTATATAGTAATTACAATATATAATAATGCAATTATGCAACTATAGTATTTTTATACTCCCTCTATCAAACTAAAAATTTTCAGTTTGCTATTCATTCATGCAGTCGATGCTATTCATTTTTGTTTTCTGGTTTTCCGTATCAACTTTTATCATTTTCAATTTTGGTTTTTGCTCTCTGATATAACTTTCAGCGTTTAGTTTCAACATATGTTATTTTATAAATATTAATACTTGGAAGACTTAACTTCATCATCTGTCTAACTTTGTAAACCGTAATTGGCAGATTTAAAAGGGAAGCAGGTAGTAGTATTACTGTCATCATCATCGTCATTACCCCAGTGCCGCAAAGGCTCCCACCAATGGTGGGGTAAGGGGGGTCGGGTGTACGCAGTCTTACCCATGTACTAAAGCATAGATAGACTGTTTCCGGATGACCCATAGTCAAAATCGAGTCGAAAATTGCATGGACTGACAGGTGCTTCATAAAAAGAAGTGCAGACAATTTAGTGAGTCATTTTGCTTTATTCCATCATATCCCTAAGCCAAAAAAAGTGAGTCTTTCGCTCTATTGCAAATGATTGAAAAGCATGTAGTACTACTGTAAACAGTAAATATCTTTAGGCACCAATAATGAAGAGTGACAAAAACAGAGTAAAGTAAAAAAATGCAACAAAAAAACTTAATTAATGCCCTTGGAAAATGTATAGGGTACAAACAAAAAACTGTGCTTTACTTAGTATAAATTAATTCTCAAACGCATGATAAGCATCCTTTAAACTCATATCCATGTTTACAGGTAAGCAATCAAACTATCTTCTCTCTATAATTTAAGAGTTATTCTGGATATTACAACTCTTTTGAGTGCTAATAGCATGTCCCAATGTCATAGAATCGACATCTACTCATTACTAGGACGTACATCATATCTAGTAGCTTACCTGACTCAGTGACTCATTTTACTAGCCAAGTTACCCACACTACAATGGGATGCATTTTTTCGTTAAATCTGAATATTTGAAAGTAAAGATGGAATACTATACGACTTCAACAAAATTAGAGGCTTTGTTTTAATAAAAAGATACTGAATACCACAAAATATTGGTTTTGGAAGTATTAAGATTAAATTGAGCATGGTGAGCTTCAAAGTAATTCAAAAACTAGCGGCTAAGTGTCTCAGTGAGTTTTTCGTCATCTTCTATAGGTTATTTCTTCTTCTTCTTTGACTTTTTACTAGGAATTTGTATTCCAAGAAATAAAACGCACTTTTATGATTTAGGGTATAAGTTCAACATTAGAATGGATAAGATGAAGGATCTTCTTCAAATATTTATGATTTATGATAGTTATTATGTATATTATTTATATTATACATATATAAGACTTATAAAACTTACAAGGAATTTTATCAATTCAGGACCCGAAAGATAGACGAGTTATCAATTCGGGACTTGAAAGATAAATCTATCGTTATAGGGCCCAAATGATGAAAAATTATCAATCTAGGACTTAAAATTTCATAGGTTTTGATTTATTTAGTTTTTTATTAATTCCATTGCTAATTTTTGATAAACTTTTCTTCACAAAAGTTTATTAGTTTCATAAAACTAAATAATATTTGAAAATTTTAAGATAAAAAAATTAATAAATTTCGGACAACTTAGGTCCTAAATTGATAATTTCCAATCATTCAAGTCCTAAATTGATAGTTTTCCATCATTCGGGTCCTATAACGGTGCATTTCGTCTTTCAGGTCCCGGATTAATAATTTATCTATCTTTCGGGTCGTGAATTGATAAAATTCCAACTTACAAAGTATATTACAGGGTGGTCATGAGAGTCGGGGTACCAGCAACACCCAAAGGGCCCCAATTAATTGGTTCACGAGATATCCTGATTGTTTCCTTTTTTACGCAACACTTCTAACCTGTTATAGTATCTGTTGATGCATCTGTTGAGAAAAAGAAGAGTCTTTTTTCCTGTAATAATGAGTCTTAAGTGAGTATTTAGTGCATGTTCAGGTTGTAATTAATATTTGTCTAATCAGTTTATATTCATTTATTTTTCAGAATCTGGACAGTTACTTGGGGTACTGAACAGACACTTCTTAGACTACAACAACAACAACATCCAAGCCTTAGTCCCAAAAGATATTGGGGTCGGCTAACATGAATCGATACATGATATCACAACCAAAAGGAAAAGAAAGAATAAAGATAAAAAGATAAGCTATTATGAAAAGATAATATAAAAAAGATGACTATATATAAAAATGATAAAATAAAAAGGCTGCAAATAATGCATATATATATACAAGGATAAAAAAAAACTAGGAAAAAAAGATGAGGGAAAAAGATTATCAAGATCACTCTTCACGTGAATACCCGCCCCCTCCACTTAGTTCTCTCCAAAGTCATGCCCTCATCCAACCCCAGAAGAAGCATATCACTTCGAACTCCCCTACCCCACGTCTGTTTGGGTCTTCCTCTCCCTCTCTTCCCTGCCTCTTCTCCACACATCTCAACTCGCCTAACAGGTGCATCACTCGGTCTTCTACGCACATGACCAAACCACCGTAGGCGCGACTCCCGCATCTTGTCTTCAATAGGTGCTACTCCCACTCTTTGTCTGATTGTCTCATTCCTCACGCGGTCCTTCCTAGTATGCCCACACATCCAACGCAGCATGCGCATCTCTGCCACACTCATCTTTTGAATGTGACATTGTTTCACCGCCCAACACTCTACGCCATACAGTAATGCAGGCCTAATTGTTGTCCTATAAAATTTACCCTTCAGTCTAGTCGGCATACCTCGGTCGCACAGAAATCCTGACGCAATCTTCCACTTCATCCACCCTGTTCTGATTCTATAGGATACATCTCCATCTAACTCACCGTCCTTCTGAATTATGGAGCCCAAGTAACGGAACATATCGCTGACTGGTATCTCCTTATCATCCAGAGTAATTCCGCTATTACCACTACTTGCACTCCATGTACTCTGTCTTGCTCCGACTTAGTTTGAAACCCTTATTCTCCAATGTTTGTCGCCATACTTCCAACTTTGCTTTAAGACCTGATTGCGTCTCATTAATCAATACAATATCGTCGGCAAACATCATGCACCACGGTATATCGTTTTGAATTGACTTCGTAAGTTCATCCATGACTATGGCAAATAAGAAAGGACTCAAGGCCGATCCTTGGTGCACTCCGATAGTAATAGGGAACTCTTCAGTCCTCCCTACACTAGTACGAACACTTGTAGTACAATCCTCATACATATCCATGATGATGCTGATATACTTGCGTGATATGTCTTTCCTAGTTAAGGCCCCCCAAAGAACTTCTCGAGGTACCCTATCATATGCCTTTTCTAAGTCAATGAACACCAAATGCAGATCCTTATGAGCATCTATATACTTCTCCATAAGTTGACGAAGAAGGTGAATAGCCTCAGTTGTTGAGCGACCAGGCATAAAACCGAATTGATTCTCTGAAATCTACACAGTCCTTCGAAGTCTTTGCTCAATCACTCGCTCCCAAAGTTTCATGGTGTGACTCATAAGCTTAATCCCTCGATAGTTGGCACATTCTTGTACATCACCTTTATTCTTAAATAAAGGGATAAGAGTACTCTTCCTCCAACTCGTTGGCATCTTGTTGTTTCTCCAAATCATGTTGAAGAAACTTGTTAACCACTCGACGCCTCTCTCTCCCAAACTTCTCCAAGCCTCGATCGGTATGCCATCTGGCCCCATTGCTCTTTTCCGTCCCATCTTCCTCAGAGCTTCTTTAACTTCCGTTGTTTGGATCCTTCTCACAAAATCACGGTTTACCATACAATCTGGTATGGACAAATCACCGATATCTTGCGTTTTGTTCCCGTTGAATAGTGTATCAAAGTATGACCTCCACCTCTCTTTTATCTCTCCGTCGTCCATTAATATCCTCTGATCAACATCCTTCACACACTTAACTTTTGCAATATCTTGAGTTCTGCGATCACGAAGACGAGCAAGTCTATAAATATCTAGTTCTCCTTCCTTAGAGTCCAACTTTTCATACAACTCCTTGTTCACTTTCCCTCGTGCTTCCCTTACGGCTTTCTTTGCTTGTCTTTTAGCCTCCCTGTATGCTTCTATGTTCTCATCACTCCAATTTGTCCCCAACTTTTTGTAGCAAACTCTTTTGTTCCTTATGGCTTGTTTCACCTCATCATTCCACCAAGATGTGTCCTTTTTAGGTGGCCGACATCCTTTAGATTCTCCAAGTACCTCATTTGCCACTTTGTTAATGGTCAACTCCATTGATAACCACACATCATCCACCTGTGTTTCATTATCAATACGCCATACATCTTCACCGACCGTTTTGTGTGTAAAGCTTTGTTGAAGATCTCCCTCTAGCCTCCACCACTTTATCTTTGGCTCCACTTGTTGTTTAACTTGTCTTCCATTGTTCTTACCTCGAAAGTCAAGCACAAGCATCCTATGCTGAGTGACAACACTCTCACCTGGAATAACCTTACAATCAGTGTAGCTAGTTCTCCCAGTGGTCCGTACTAAGAAGTAGTCGATTTGGGTACTATTAGCTCCACTTTTATAGGTTACAAGGTGAGAGTCTCTTTTCTTAAACCAAGTGTTCATTATAGCCAACTCATACGTCAAGACACTTCTTAGGACTAGTTTTCTATAAATATGCAGCTGTAATTTGAGTTCTTATTGAGTTCTATCAATAATAAAATTCAGAAAACTTCATGGTATCAGAGCTAGGTTTCGTCTAAGCCTTTTTTGAGTCTATCGCCTCTCCAACAGTCATTTTTTGGGTGTCTCTACCCTTCTCTCTCTTTAACTCCCGGTGGAGTCTATTCATCAAGGGTTTTATCATGTCTAAAGAAGCTGAATCAGCCTCAAGTCACTTGACCACTCGACCATTGTTTCAGCTGTACTGCAGCTGCGGTTGTCCTTCGAAACCAGAAATTTGACGTCCCTTCTATCCCGCCTTCTTACCGTTTTAGTGGGAGAAACTATCTTGGATGGTCAAAGCTGGTTTACACTCTCCTTCGTGGCAAAGATCTTGAAATATATCTCACTGCCTCTTCACCAGAAGAAGGAGATATTGATGCTGCTATTTGGGAGAAAACCAATGCCAACATACGAGTCTGGTTATGGGACTCTATGGATCCCAACATTAGCAGTACATGTTTATACATGGACTCGGCTAAAGAAATCTGGGATTTCATAAAGCAATCCTACTCTGTTGCTAAAGATGGTGCTTTTGTCCATGACTTATGGCTTCAAACAACGAATCTTAAGCAAGATTCGCAATCTGTCACAGAATATGCTACTGACCTCCAACGGTCTGAACTTGACCAGTACCAAACAATGAAGTGGTCTAATGCTGCAAACGCAGCCCTTCATAAGAACTATATAAATCAGCAACGTCTTTATTGCTTCTTGTCTGGTTTAAATCCAGAATACGATCAGACCCAGTCTCAACTTCTGGCCATTACTCCTCTACCAGCCCTATCTTCTGCCATTGCCATTATCAAACATGAAGAGAGTAGGCGCAATATAATAATGAACACTAAGCTAGTTGACAGTACGGCTTTGGCTATCAAGTCTACTTCTTCGGCCTCTTCGGATGATAATGGAACTAAAAGTAGTAAGGGAGGAAAATGGTGTGAGCATTGCAAGCGGTCCAATCATAATGTGGACACGTATTGGAAGCTTTATCCTCATCTCCAGAAGGAAAGGAAAAGTCAGGATAGACGGGGATGTAGCGCAGGATTTGGTAACTCAACCACTCCTACTACTCTTGAGAACTCTACTAGCCTTTCACCTACTTCGTTTGCTGCTGCAGTCTCTTAATACCTCAAATGGTTCTGGTTATAGCTCTTTAGCCTTGCAAGGTAAAACCTCTACAATTTTTAGTCTGAATGCTTCATGGATATTAGACTCAGGTGCCACCTCTCATATGACTGTTGCATCCTCCTTACTCTCCAATTACCAGCCATGTTTTAAGTCCACACACATTACTACTGCTGATGGCACATCTATAGAGGTTGCAGGGCATGGCACAATTGTTTTTTCTCATAAATTTAATCTGAAGAACACCTTACATGTCCCAAACTTGGCTATGAACCTTGCTTCTATTTCTAAACTCACTGGTGATCTTAACTGTGCTGCTATTTTCTTCCCTTCTTGTTGCTTTTTACAGGATCTGCGCACGGGGAGGACGATTGGAATTGCTAAGCAAAGAGATGGCCTGTATTATCTTGATGCACTTTGTCTCCAAACCTCCACAAAAGGCTCTCACCTCAGTCACTTCCAATACCAAAACTGTTTGGCTTCATCATATGCGACTTGGTCATCCATCTTTCCATGTCCTAAAAACCTTATTCCCTAGCCTTTTCACTAGTATTGATGTTTCTACCTTACAATGTGATGTATGTGAACTTGCTAAGCAATCTCGTGTATCTTTTTCCCGAAGTAATACAATAAGTCATTCTCCTTTTGATATTATACATAGTGATGTTTGGGGCCCTGCTCCAGTTGCTAATATATCTGGAGCCCGGTGGTACGTTACATTTATAGATGACTGTACACGTTTTATGTGGGTTTTTCTCCTAAAAAACAAGAGTGAGGTGAGCACTATTATTCCTATATTCTGCAATATGATTCATAATTAGTTCTCTACCACTATAAAACGCTTCCGTGCTGATAATGCCCTTGAGTACTTCAATCAAACGGTCTCCTCTTATTTCCTCTCAAAAGGTATTGTTCATGAGTCCTCTTGTCCATACACACCTCAACAAAATGGCACTGCAGAAAGAAAAAACCGTCATCTTCTTAAGTAAGTCGGGCTTTATTGTTCCAATCAAATATGCCTAAACATTACTGGGGGGAAGCCACTCACAGCATGTCATCTCATCAATAAACTACCCACTCGTGTACTCCAAAACAAGTCACCTCTTGATTCTCTTCGTCACTTCTTTCCTCAAACTAGAATCTCTTCTGATCTTGATTTACGGGTGTTCGGGTGTACTGCATTTGTTCAAAGTACAGCTGCATATTTATAGAACATGATCAGAAGAGATTATGAAGAGCAAATGCGGCTGCAGTAGCAGCTGAAACAATGGTTGAGTGATCAAGGTTACTTGAGACTGATTCGGCTTCTTTAGACATGATAAAACCCTTGATGAAGAGACTCCACCGGGAGTTAAAGAGAGAGAAGGGTAGAGACACCCAAAAAATGACCGTTGAAGAGGTGATAGACTCAAAAAAGGCTTAGACAAAACCAAGCTCCGATACCATGAAGTTTTCTGAATATTATTTCCTTGTATTCATTTACAAGAAGTACATAAGCTCTTTATACATATAGGAATCCTGAGAGAGTCTATTCAGCACCCTAGGTGACTGTCTAAATACTAAACATAAATGATTGAGAGCTGAAAAGACAGCAGCTATTAAATACAACCTGAAGCACTAAAGACACATAATTACAGTAATAATAAGGAAAATAAATCCTAGATTAATGATGTCTCTTCGTTTTATCAACACTTATTGAGTTCTATCAATAATAAAATTCAGAAAACTTCAGTATCCATTCAATGATAGTGCCAACGCCCTTGATTGGCATGAGCACAAACCTGTGATCTCCACTTTAAAAGAAAGGGCACCAGTGATGCCATCAGACCACTACTTGGCAGTTGTTCCCTTTTATTTAGTTTTCCTTGTCCTAGTTGTTTAATTTTATTTAATTTTCCTTATCTTGGTCTATCTCTTACTTCTAAGTTTGAAATAGTGAAAATCTATATACTATTAATGTTTTAAAAATATGACTTTGGTCTGATTGATGGAACCACCCATCACCTTCCTTGGCTACCGGGTGTAAAGGTAGATTGTTATTCAAACATCATATAAACTATCAGGATAGCTGTCTTGATAGTTTATGTTGATGATATAATACTTGCATGTGATTTCAAGGAAGAGCTGGAAAACTTGAAAAGTTTTTTATCAAGGGAATTTGAGATTAAAGATCTCGGTTACCTTAGATATTTCCTAGGTATGGAAATTGCACGATCAAGGCGTGGCATTTTTGTTTCTCAAAGAAAGTATGTTCTAGACTTGCTCAAGGAAACATGAAATGCTTGGGTGTAAACCAGCCTCAACTCCAATGGATTCTAATAGAAAGATTGGCTCAGAGACAGGCAGAGCACATGTGGACAGGGGGAGATATCAAAGGCTAGTTGGACGGCTTATTTATCTATCCCATACTAGACCTGATATTGGTTTCCCTGTAAGTGCGGTGAGCCAATACATGAATAATCCAACCGAGGAACACATGGCAGCTGTTACAAGAATCCTTAGATACCTCAAAATGACTCCACGAAAAGGTCTTCTTTTTAGGAGTACTTCTGGTTACTGTTCTTATGCTTGGGGTAATTTAGTAACATGGAGAAGTAAGAGACAGTCACTTGTTTCTAGAAGTTCAGCTGAAGCAGAATTCAGAGCGCTAGCTCTTGGCATATGTGAAGGGATGTGCCTGAAAAGATTACTTGGGGAGCTGGGGGTATTTAAAGAAGGGTCTATACAAATGCTTTGTGACAATCAGGCTGCTATTAGCATTGCCAAAAATCCAGTTCATCACGACAAAACTAAGCATATTGACATAGACAGACGCTTCATTACTGAGAAGATAGAGAACTCCATCATTCAAGCATGTTATATTCCATAAAAATTCCAAACTGCTGACATTCTTACGAAAGCTCTACCAATAACTGTTTTTGAAGAATTAATTGGCAAGCTTGGGATGTTTGACATTCACAACCCAGCTTGAGGGGGAGTGTGGATTTATTTCCTAATTTAGAGAATATTTACTGCTGTATTTTAGATCTGATTTGGTATTAATACCAGATCTCCTGTATTTTATTCTTTCTAGAAATAGGATATTCTATTGTCTAAATTAGCAGACTGTATAGTTAATGTCTTAGATTCTTTCCCCAATAGGTTGTATAAATATCCTGTCATTCTGAGAGAATAAATCATTACAAATATTCAGAACTTCACAGTACATAAAGACACGGGTTGGCCTAGCACATCACTGAAACTCCAGTCAATCAGGATATCAACTCCCTCGACTCCCACCGCATAAATACACATAATTCCTAATAAGTTATTACATACACAAACAAACAGCCTTATTTATTTCAATACCATGCTGCAGAGGAAACGAATCTTTAGTTTTGTGTACAGAACATGTACAATTCCTTGTGTGTGTAGGGCAGATCATATCAGGCCGGCCTGAGGGGAACCGGCGTCAGGCCGAGGCCATTTGGGGCCCTTTCTGGTGGAATTTTTTAATGAAATATTTTGAGCATGTTCTTCATCAAGTCTAGTTTATGCATACCAAATTTCAGCTAAAAATTCAATCGGGAAGGTAGTTAAATAAATTCTTTACAAAAACTGTGCTTTACATACATATAAACAGCACAGTTATTTTCAAAACTTTATTTGACTGCCTTCCCAATTGCATTTTTAGATGAAATTCGGTGGGCATTAACTAGACTTGATGATGAACATGCTCAAAAAAATCATCAAAAATTAAACCGGGAAGAGTCCCAAATGCTCTCGGCTGGACGGCGAGTCCTTATAGGCCTGGCGGGATCACTACTATACACACACACACATATATATACATATGGGTACAGCTAAGCCTGGTTCACACAATAATATACCGCCCACGCATATCTATAAGAAAATAAAATGCAATACAGATAACTCGAGAGGATATGTTCAAAATCAGAGATGAAAATTACTTTTCAAAAGCTTCAGAAGATAATGGACCCAATTCCCGAATCTTCTTTGAATACTCTTCTTGTTTTGCAACATAGATGTTCCTTTTATTTAAGAGTTGCTCCAGTTCTCTCTTTTCATCCTGAAGTGTTCCCTGATATTTATCCTCCAGAGCCTGCATTGAGTTTAATTTATAAGCTACTGGTGGAAGACTGAAAACCCCAGGAACACGAAATACAATAGAAATATAGAATTACCTTCAACTTGTCTCTTTCACCTTTGATCTCCTTCAGCTCCAAATTTTTTTTATTTAAATTCACAGAAACCCCTAAAAGGATTTTTTTAGGAAATGTCAATGAAAAATTCAGATTCAGACCATACTACCATAGCAGATTAAGTACAACTACTCACTTTTAATCTGTTGGCTCAAGTTCTCGAGCAACTTATGAACCTCCAGTACTTCTTGTCCCTTCAAATCAGCTTCAGAATTAAGCGCATCAATGTCTACACCCACTTTGATTGCCTCCAACTCTTGCTTCCGCCTTACAAGATTTGTTGATAAGTTCATCTCCAGCTCTGCTTTTCTTGTTTCAGTCTACACATAGATAATAATCAAATGCAAACATGACACATTGACACCACAAATGGATCTTTTGTGTAACTACGATATTCAATATATGAACATACCTCCATGCGTTTTGCTTTGGATGCTATAAGCATCTCTTTCAGATTTGTTATTTCAGGATTCAGGCGTGACAAAGCTTCTCTCTCTTCTGGTGTCAAGTGATCAACAAGTTCTGTTCCCATCTCTTCATGTTTCATGGCTATACTAGATCTAAGCTGATCAATTTGGGTCAAAACATTGGCCAGCAATTTCTCCTTCAAAAGGTTCAATCAGTTTTCAAAACATGGTCCGAATGCAGTGGCCTTTGTAGTTGCTTCAGTGGACATAAAGTATAAGGAATGAAAGATACCTTTTTCTCAACAGCTTTAGCAATGGAACTTTTTTGCCGTTCAGCATTTGCAATGTCCTGCCTGAACTGTTCTAGCTCAGATTTGTCATGAGCCAACTTAGCATCATTTTTCTGCTGTTCAGCCACTAGCTCATTAATTTTCTGGTCCATCTGTGAGAAAAGCTTAGTGAAAGCATAGGGCATGACTAACTCAGGTAATTTCTCTCAACAACAAAATCCTAGAAGTGCTAATATGAGAAACCACTATTAGTTATGCGATTTCATACTGAATTCAATCATAAACTTGTAGACACAAGTAATCAAATTAACTTTGCTTCCAAAAGCATGAAGGAGAGTTAACTCATCAAGAGTGTAACATCATATAAATCTAGTGTACTAGAAACTCCGTGACCTCAAAGGGTATGGAATCTCATAATCTCTATAAAGAACATCACACAAGAAGCCTGTTGATATCTCATAGAAATCAGGTACATCAAGAATACCAATACAGACTGTACAAGATGCATGGTAACACGTGGCATATATAAAATCAAAAACTTTCATATGAAGATCTAGCTTTTTCTAACATTATAGACTTTAAAATCAAACGCACAAACAACTACATCATGCAAGATCACGAGAATGAAGATGCACTTTTACTTTTATACAGAGGGATATATTTGGGATCAACATGAGAGGATTTAGCTGTTCTTAACATGTTAGAACTTAAAACCTGTTACACTTTTACTTATGTTTATAATTCAGAGATCAATGCCAGAGGCTCAAATACATGGTATCAATGCAAAAGAACAATGGAGAATAATTTCTAAGCACATTATCAACAACAGATCTATAAATGAGATAAACATAAAATGCAAATTAAACAAGAGCTCAGGTGTAAAAGGATATCTTCAAGCATTTTCCTAACATCCACCAGTTCATTTTCCTTCTCGTGGATAGAAATTGTTTTAAGCTTAATAATGCTCATAAACCTCAGTCTTGAACGCCTATAATCATAAAACCCACCAGTCATGCCTCCTTTTTTGCTCACTTGGTCACCTGCAAGTAGAAAATGCACCAGTTTCTTACCGCAATAGACAAACACTAACAGTAAAAATAAATCATTAATTAAGAATTCTAAACCTTCCAAAGTTATGCAGTCAAGACCATCTGTGCGGGCAACTCTTGTTGCAACATCCAAATCCCGGCAAATTACAGTTCGAGCAAACACCTAGATAGATTACCCAATTCACATAGTAAAACAACAGTATAATATAATAAAAAATTCACTCACACTCTTTATTTATCATTACTCTATAACACTCCATGTCTTCGTGTTGATAGCAATAGTGGGTGTCAGCAATAAATTTATGGGATGTAGTCATGTAGAACACTCAATACTCATGCATAGAACAGAGCCACTTTTCATGCAACCTTATGGAAAAGGGAGAGAAAACATGTCACAAACACATACATGAATATGTATTTCAGAGCTCCAACATAAATTCCTGATTCACATAATGAAATAATAGTAAAAATACAGTTAGAAATTCCCTTCGCTCTTCGATAATCATTATTTTAAGAAGACTAATGAAGTCAAAAGTTCATAAAATGTGATATACTTGAACTACAAGGCATGCTATACTCGAACTTGCATGCCTTGTGTTGGATTGCAATATTGGGCCTCAGCTACGGAATAGGGCTACTTTTCATGCATCGTTATAGCAAGAAGAGAGGACTAATATCACACACATTCAAGCATGGTTGTCTCTTTCAGAGTTACAAAGCAGGTTGGCATCATCAAGTGCTTTATAACTTTACTTACCATACAGTGCTTGTTCTTCCACACTTAGAATCACTTTCTTAATCTTCTTTCAAAATCTATTCCAAAATTATTTATTTATAAGTTTTTAGGGTTATTGTTAGGGTTAGGATCTCTAGCGCTCACACACACAAATCTGAAAATACTAGAAAGAAAAAAATGAGAACGGCACACAAATTTAACGTGGTTCAACTAGGGTTTTCTTTCTTACTGAGGTGATGAAAAATACTGTCGGTTGTTTACAAGTACAGGAGTCAATATATAGGCAAACAATTAGGGTAAACTGTTAATTAAACTCTGGGCCTCACTGCCACAAAAAAAACAGGTCCAACAAGAGCTGGCTGCACATCTAGATAGGGCTGGCTGCTGCTCCTTGTTTATTTGGCTCCCAGATCTCAGTGGGCCGAAGCCTACACCCAACAATCTCCCACTTGGAGGCTTCGAAACACGATCAACTGCACTCCAATCCACTCCTCTGTACTTATGTAAACACCGTCTGTTCTCTAGCTCCACCTAGTTACCCCTGCCTTCTCAACATTATTCTTGAAGGCCAGTTGAAGCCATGCAAAGCTTCAACTTCTCAGTTGTCACCACCTTAGAAAACGTATCAGCAGGATTCTTTGTACCAAGAATCTTCGTCAGTAGCAACTCTCCATCATTTATCAACTCCCTGATAAAATGATACTTCATCTTGATGTGCTTAGTCCTACTATGAAACACCGGATTGCAAAGCTTCAACTTCTCAGTTGTCACCACCTTAGAAAACATATCAGCAGGATTCTTTGTACCAAGAATCTTCGTCAATAGCAACTCTCCATCATTTATCAACTCCCTGATAAAATGATACTTCATCTTGATGTGCTTAGTCCTACTATGAAACACCGGATTCTTTGCGAGATGGATTGCACTCTGGTTGTCACAATACAGAACGCTGTCTTTCTGTTCAAAGCCCAACTCTGATAGGAAATTCTTTAACCATATAAGGTCTTTGCTTACTTTGAAGCCTAAACATCCAACTAATAGCAGATCCTCTCATTATGAACACATAACCAGTAGTGCTCTTACCAGAATCTTGACAATCACCCAAATCTGCATCCATGAAGCCCTCTAAGATAGCATCTTTCTTTCTGAAACATAATGATGTCTTAGATGTGTCCCTCAAGTAGCGCAGTAACCACACCACTTAACTGCTTCCCAATGCTCCCATTCCGGATTTGACATAAATCTCTTGACTACTCCCACTGCATGAGCAATGTCTAGCCTTGTGCATACCATGGCATACATCAAACTGCCAACTGTTGATGCATAAGGAACCTTTTCCATTTCTTCCTTGTCTTTATTTGTTTTAGGTGATTGCTTCTTAGTAGGTTTAAAATGACTTTCCAAGGGTGTAGTTCTGGCTTTAGCATCTTTCAGATTGAAATTCTCTAGCACCTTCCCAATGTATTTTTCTTGAGATAACTTCAAGGTACCTTCTGCTCTATCTCTAGTGCTGCTCATACCAAGAACCTGCTTAGCAGCTCCCAAGTCTTTCATCACAAATTCCTGAGATAACTGTTTCTTCAGCTTGTTGATTTCTCTCATGTCTGGTCTTGCAATTAACATATCATCAACATAAGACATTTCTTCAAGTAGCAGCAATGATCCATAAGACATTTCGTATATCCACTCTTTTTCATAAAGTTGTCAAACTTCATGTACCACTGTCTAGGTGCTTGCTTCAACCCGACAACCCGTACAAATTTTTCTTCAATTTGCAAGCCAAATTTTCTTTCCCATATATCTCAAAACGCTCTGGTTGCATGATGTAAATATCTTCACCAATATCTCCACGTAAGAAAGTTGTCTTGACATCCAGCTACTCTAGATGCAAGTCTTCAGCGGCCACAATACTCAAGACTGATCTGATCGTGGTCATTTTCACAACTAGGGAGAAGATCTCGTTATAATCCACTCCTTTCTTTTGTTGGAAAACTTTGACAACCAATCGAGCCTTGTACTTCTTGTTGCCGTCAATCTCATCTTTGACCCTGAATACCCATTTATTCTGTGAAGCTTTCTTTCCTGTAGGTAATCTGGCCAATTTCCAAGTCTGGTTCTTTTCAAGTGAGCTCAATTCTTCATTCATAGCTTGCTCCCACTGTACGGAATCTTTCATCTTCAAAGCTTCTAAATAGCATTCGGGCTCACCATTTTCAGTCAATCGCAAATAATTTGCTGAGGGGAGAATCTCTTAGGATGTCTAGTAACTCTGGTGGATCTTCTAACCCATGTTGTTTGGAGTTTCACTGTCAATAGTCTCAGTATCTGAACTCTCAATATCCTTTGTGCTTCCACTGTTTCCAGATCCCCCGTTCTCCATCCCCTGTTCTCCTCTGAGCTCCCGTTATTTCCTAAACTCTGACCACTTGATCCTTTCTTCCTGACATCTTGCTTTGACTGGGGACTGTGGCAAGATCATCTTTGTACAAGGCATTCTCATTGAATGTCACATCTCTGCTTCTAGTGACCTATAAACGATAACCCAGAAGCGATAACCCATGTCATCCAAACCGTAGCCTATAAAGATTATAAAGAAGCACTTCTTCGCCTTTGCCTCGAGCTTGTCTCTGCTAGCATCCTTGGTCCTGATATAGGCGACACAACCAAATACTTTCAAGTGAGTAAGTGATACCTCTCGACCTCGCCATTCTTCTTCAGGCTGAACCCTATGGGAACTGAGGATCCACAATTGATTAAGTATGATGGCGTTTTGACAAAATCTGCCCAGAACATCTTTGGTAGACCTGCGTGTAGCCTCATGCTCTTTGCTCCCTCACAAAAGATTCTATTCATCCCTTCAGCGACCCCATTTTGTTGGGGTGTTTCTGGAACTGTTTTCAGCATTCTGATTCTGTTCTCAGCACAATAACCAACAAAATCTTTGTTGTTGTACTCACCCCCATTATCTAACTTTAAACACTTGACTTTTAAACCAGTTTCATTTCCAACAACAGCTTTCCACCTTTTAAAGATAATAAATACATCAAATTTATTCTTCAGAAAATAAACGCATACCTTTCTAATGGAGACATTAATGATGCCACATATTAGAATCATCTACAACTACATTTAATCCATCTGCCGCTATTTCCAACATGTATAAAGTCCCACCTTTTTCACCACGAGAGATAACCAAATTACCCTTAACCACTTTCCACTAGCCATTTCCAAAGACAACGTGATAACCTTGATCATCCAGCTGCCCAACTGAAATTAACATTCTTTTGAGTCCTGGAATATATCTCACATCCTTCAACATCCAATTTGTGTCAAGTGAAGTTTTGAGAATCACATCTCCCATGCCCGTGATATTTAAGGTTTCATCATCTCCAAATTGGACTTTACTGAAACTATCACGCCTGAAATTCCTCATCGTTTCCATGCAAGGTGATGCATGAAATGAAGCAACGTTTGCATTCTGCCCACCTTTCCTATTACCCGCCTGACACTGATTTCTAAAGACACCGGTTTCTTTGCAATTCCATCACGTGATGTCCTTCCTGGTCTTTGACTGCCCCCTTTTTCTGGATTTCGATCTACCTCTTCATTTACTATGCCCTCTGTCAGTTTTTCTGCTCCTACCATCAGTGCTTAACAAAGAACTGAAGTATTCACCTCAATTTCTCCTATGGATATCTTCTCCCAGAATGAGATCTCGATTCTCATTGAACATAAGCTTAGCATTTCCTTTTGAACTACTGACTGTTGTGACCGTTCCTGACCAACTCTCGGGCAACGAGGATTATAATAGCAACGTTTGTACCTCATCATCGAATGCAATGTCAACAGAAACTAACCTCGTCAATATTGAATTGAATTCGTTTAACTGATGCTCCTTCCTTCATCTTCGTATTCACCAGTTGTCTAATTAGAAAAACCTTATTCGACGCACTAGGTTTTTAGTACATGTTCGACAACGCTTTGAGTAATCCGTGAGTAGTTTTTTCATTGAGAATGTTGTAAGCAACATTCTTTGCCAATAATAACCTAACTACAGCCAATGTTTGGCGGTCAAGCAAATCCCATTCGGCTTGAGGCATCTCTGTGGATTTAATACCAAACAAGGGTTCATGTAGCTTATTCTGGTATAGGTAGTCCTCGATTTGCATCTTCCAGAAAATTAAATCATGGCCCTCAAACTTGTCTATTCTGAACTTACTGTCTTTTGCCATAACTGAACAACGGTTTCGCGGCGGTTGTCGTCCAACCCCAGACGTTGCACGGTCATACATGTGCAACGTCTGGGGCTCGACGGCTAGGATTTTTACAGTTAGGGTTTCTGCTAGAGTTTAACCAAACGAGCCTGGGCTCTGACTCCAGTTGTTAGGGTTAGGATCTCTAGCGCTCACGCACAAATCTGAAACTACTAGAAAGAGAGAAAAAACAAGAAGAACGGCACACGAATTTAACGTGGTTCAACCAGTAAATGTTACTGACCTAATCCACAGGGGACTAGGGTTTTCCTTCTTTTTGAGGTGATGAAAAATACAGGCGGTTGTTTACAATTACAGGAGTCAATATATAGGCAAACAATTAGGGTAAATTGTTAATTAAACTCTTGGCCTGACTGCCACCAAAAAAACAGGCCCAACTAAAGCTGGCTGCACATCTAGATAGGGTTGGCTGCTGCTCCTTGTTTATTTGGCTCCAAGATCTCAGTGGGCCGGAGCCTACACCCCAAAAGTTATTACTCTGAGAGATATGCACCAATTTAATGCTTAAATAGTTGAACCAACCAACTCCTGAAATCTTATACAGCTTCTATAATTATAATTAACAAGATATTTGTAAAAACCTGTTCAAATGCTTTTGTATATCTGTTGGAGAACTTCAATTTTTTTAGAAGTGGTATCACATCATTGTTCTGTGGATACGAAACTTCAGGAGCCTTCACCCTGTTCAGTGGAATAAATGTAACTCGCCCACCTTTCTCTGTGTTTAGATGTCTAATAATTTGGGTTGATATATCATCATTCTCAACCACAACATGAAATAAGCTGCAAAGTGGGGGGAAATCACATACAGCACAAATAATAAGCAAGCTGATATCAGTACATTACAGACTTGACACACAGGTTCGCCAGTAAAACTAAGTAAATAGTACCTATTTCCCGCAGTAACTTCAACAGCAGTGAAGAACCTCTCTTCACATTCAAGCAACTCAAATATTGGACCAAATACCCCAGGAATTGTATGCACTTTGCATATCCTCCTGACTGAGCTCAGTCCCCTTCTAATATCCTTGAAATTAATAAAGACACACGATTAGGTTTATGTCAGGAGGTTTCAGGGTTTACAGTTTGTTTAAACACTCGTGATTATCTGTTCTATTTTTCAATTCTTTATCATCAAAAATTGTTGATAAACGAACCATCCTACCAATACTACAAACATGCACATACAAGCTTCCTTAATAAATGTTTCTATAAGCATGGATTCCTGCTTGTATACGGTATACCTTCGTGATGGAATTCATTTCAATAGGAAGTGGCTCGCAGCAGATCTTATAACAGAAGTAATGCAAGTAACGGGTATTTTTCATGCCATGTAATAAAAAATAAAGATGTCAAAGAGAAATTAAAACAATCCGGTCTGAGCCGTCTGACATGTTAGTGAGGAATTTCTCATTATTGCTTAATTAAATATGTCGTAGCCTGTGGCGTGCTAAGATCACCAAACTCAGTAAGAGATGTGTGTCACTTCCAAATGATTTCATATTTCTGTGCTATTGATAATACTAACCCCAGGTGTTGCTTGATCTAGGCTTTTCTCTGCTTTCTCAACTTCTGCTTTGAGTCGAGCAATTTCAGCAGCAAGTTCACTCTCTTTCGCCCACAAAGACCTACAAGTATTTAAAGAAACACACATCTCTCTCTTATATTACCATCACAACACATCTGAAAAAAATTCTTTTAAAAAAACCTAAATCATATCAAAGTTGTGCATACTTCCGCTCATCATGCTGCTCGTCTCTCTGTCTTTTAAAAGCAGTGTAACTTTGCCGATATCCAGATATGAGAGCTTCCCTGACAGCTGCTTCATTTTTGCGATGCATGATGATATCATCATGAATCTTCATGTCTTTATGAAGCTGCTTAATTTCACCACGAAGTTGACTCTCCTGGAAAAAGTAAATTCAATCAAGACATATGGTTCCTAGGATAAGTACATCAATTACACAATGTTAACAGGGAGAGGAAGAAGAGAAAATTGCATATGACTTGTACTGAAATGAGATACAATGCCTGTAATGTAGGCACAAAAAAGGAGCAGAACAGTATACTGAAATGTGTGTGCTTTCACTGTACTACAAAACCAGAACTGTGTGCTACAAAACCATGTGCTATGACGTGAAGACAGCAACCAACATAAATCTATCACAGGAGTCCTCAGGTGTAGAAGTAATAACATGTCTATGAAGTAAAAACACATACATTAGTAAGCAGAAAGCATATCCCTGTGTCTTCAAAAAGGTTTATGTTTAACTTTTTGTACGTCCCAAAATAGGGTTCCTCTTTTAATTTAAAGAAGAATTTTGTGGTGAGATTATTCTTTCCTTTTAAATAAATCTCATCAGAGCAATTTCACTTTTCTTAATACGTCTGCAAAGTCAAACCGTGTACCTTTGTTGAACAAAGGGAGTACAAACCAAACACTTACGGACAAGTTTTCTGCAACATGGATGCTAAACAGAAAATTTAAGAGCACATAACAAATTTAATAATAAAGAGGAACACCTGCCTGCTTATGATTTGAGGACAAGATTCTTTCATACTCGTCGATTTCCTTTTGAAGCCATTTATCACGGGCAGCTTTGTTAGCAAATTGAGTAGCCCGGCCCTGTTTTTGATAAAGGATGCTAAGCTGCTTTTCACGTTCCATAATTCTGCATAATAGAATGATTCAGAAAACTCAGAAGAACACAAACAAAGTTCAAATATGAAATCATAGGCAAGACTATAAAGCTTTTGCTAATATGGGGCCCATGTTTATCACTAAGATTATAAGGAAAATGAAGATATTGGCATCAAAGATAAACATTATACAGGGGAATGCAAACAGCAATGTTTTCAAGATATTTCTCTTCATAACGCTTTCATAAGGATACATGGATTTCTGCTGTGAATTGGTCAATTAGGATCTGGAAACCTACACATATCTAAAATACAAAGCACTAGCATATGATCGAGACCCAAAAAAATAGAAATATGGGCCTCTTGGTTTTATCAACTATCCTGCGGTTCCCATCGCCATGCGAGGGGGAAAAAGATCCAACGTGCATCAATATTAACAAGTATGGATCAAAGAATTAGGCCACACACAAGGAATTACAAGCATGTCTAATGGTGATTCTTGTGTTAATTTAATATGTGACATTGGCTTGAGAGAGAATAATTAATGTGATGACAATGCCATACAGGAGTGGTTACAAACCCAAAAGTAATCATCTTGAAGAGAGGTCCAACATTGAGGTCTCCAAGAGAGTGGTGTTACTTGCTTCAATTGGGATTGTTAGCCAAGTTCTCCTAGTCCTATTTATGATAACCTGATAGGGTTGTTGATTTTAGAGTGTTGTTGAAACATAGAATATACTCTACAATAACATTTGGAGAAGGAAGGATTTTCAGTATATTTCATTCGAGGGTTAAGTCCCTATAAATATATATTACAAAGATAGAATATTCTTATAAAGATGTTATACAATAATAATGCAGCAGAGTTTATTCCTAAATATTCTAAAGCATATTCTTATACTTATTCTAATATCTTTCACACTTCCCTCAAGTTGGAGCATAGATATTTATCATGCCCAACTTGGTACATAAGTAATCAACTCAAATCTCATTTAGTGCTTTAGTGAATAAATTTCCAAACTGTTCTCCCATCTTCACATATTCGCAAGTAGGGCTGGCATTTTGAACCGAAAACCCGAAAACCAAACCGAAAATAACCGAACTGCATTGAAAAAAACGAATCGAACCAAACTGGTAAATTTTGGGACCCAAAAATAGGGACCCGAAAAAAAAAATTGGTTCGAAATTGGTTTATATACTCAAAATACCAGTTTGGACCGAACCAACCCGATTTTTATTAATAATAATTATTATTATTACTAGTACTAATGACGTTTAAAAAAATATAATATTTGGTCGAGAGCAGTAAGGACGTATTGGAAGCGTTAGTGTGTTGGTCGCGCAGTGCATTGCCTTCCCACCGGTGCCCATTTTGTTTTATCATTTCTCTCCTCATCCTTTTCTATCCTCTACTATTTCGTCTCACACCGGAAAAAGAAGAGGCATACTCCTCCAAAGACTTCTATATAACATGGGATCTACTCAAATTTATAATTGTGACTAGTAAGTCACGTAATACGGTTATTTCGTATTTGAGTGGCCTTTAATGTGCCAATACTCTAATAGCCAGATATGTTGGGCTTAATGGGCTCAATACTCTAATACCCAGATATATTGGGCTTAATGGGTCGAATACAAGTTCAAATTTACGTTTTTATTACAATAATCGGTTTTTTCGGTTTTCAACAAACCGACCCAAAAAATCGGTTCCCAATAAATCGGTACCCGATCCATGAACGGTTCGGTTTCGGGTGTAATAATTTGAGTAACCGATAATTCGGTTTGGTTTCAAGATTCATTGGATCGGTTCGGGACCCGAACCGAATCCAGCCCTATTCGCAAGTGTGTGTATAGCAGTTGGGTTATCGCTAGCAGAAATTGGTGTCTTCAATACGACTTCATTCAATAAATAGTGTATCCATATTATCTCACATGCAAATTGCGCAATAACTCGATATTCTGATTCAACACTAGAACGAGAAACCACATTATACTTGTTACTTTTCCAGGAAACTAGATTACCAAATGTAGCCAAATGTAGATCTTCTATCAAAGACGCAATAGCCAAATGTAGATCTTCTATCATCTTTATATCCAGCCTACTCAGCATCTACAAAGCATTCTATTTTCATGTGATCATTGTTTTGATATAGAATACTTCATTTTGGTGTTCCCTTCATGTAACATAATATATGTTCTACAACAATCCAATGGTCAATGCCCTCGATCATGTGTTTAAATGCCTCGACTCCTGCTTCTCTCCCTTTGGCACTCGTCGCACCACTTCCCCCACGATCTTCTAAAATCGTTGAGTTATAGATGCATTCAATCCCACTTGTGGTGCATAGACACTTACCGCGGGCATGCTCATGATGCGGTCGTTCTTCCTAAAGATCTCAACCACACCCTCAACATAATCAAGCGCCACAATAATGCCTGCTTCATTTTTGTTCTTCTCTCCCTGGATACCACAACTTAAAAACTCTTAGATTAATCTCACGCGCATTTTGTTAGGGACCCAGTATAAATAAAGGTTGAGAGTAGAATACAGTAGAACAGAGGGGAGGTTGGAATTATCATTTGGGCTTGGGACATGAAGAGTGGGCACTCTTAAATTGCCATTGTATTTCTCTTTCTTCTATGTAATAGACCTTCTTGAGACTGTTCACTCTTTCTTCATCTTTCTTTTCTTGAATTTACTCTGAAATTAGCTAGTTACCTAACATTGGTATCAGATCAACGTTTTTGTTACCAGTTCATGGTCACAAACAGAGGAACGATGGAAGCTAGGCAGAAAAATTTTTAACGCAAGCTGGAGAAGTATCGCATAGAGGCGTGAAAACAAAGCAAAAGCGAAGCGAGGCGTGAAGAAGCCAGGCGGGATCGCGAGAGATGTGAGAGCTAATCTTGCAAAGAAACAATTGGCACTCGCGCGGAAGATAGAGAACAATAAGGCGGTGTCGGAACTCTGGAGCCGCAGGTTCAAGATCGTTGATAGCGATTTCTTCCAATTTGTCATCGATAGCAGCTGGTTCCAGTTCGCCATCGCGAACTGCTCTAACCAGTTCACAATCGCAGACTGGGTCGCAGTCATACTTGTCACGGCGGTAAGTCGGGTAGCGGCGCCAGCCGACCGCCATATCGCCTAGGCGACAATTAGGCGACTAGTCACCTATATATGAATAATATTATTTATATATATATATATGTATGTATTATATATTTATATATATAATTATATATATAAAATATATATAATTAAACTATGCAAAATATGTATATAATACGTAGTATATATTAGTATGTACCAGTTTTTATGATTATTTTAATAGTTTATTATTTTATAATTTATAACATATAATAAAATAGAAGTCTCACAGGTTGGGTATATCATTATATCATATTATATCTTGATTATGTAATATAGATGTGTAAATATACATATATATATATATATATAAATACACAACTTAATTAATTAAAATAATAAAAAAAATGAAGCCAAGAAGAAGAGATGGGGGACTGGGAACTGGGGAGTCATCTGCTACTCTGCTTCCGCGAGCGAAGGACTGAAGGAGGGCGATACATGAGAGTTTGTCTTCTTCGTGGAGTTGTTCGTCTGCTTCCTGCGACTCTACGAGGCTGCGACTTGGCTTAGCTATACGACTTTGGGCAATGAATCGTCGGTAAGGAAGACTACTATGGGCTTGCTTTTAATTAAAGCATAAATCTATTTTTATTTTGGGTTCTGAGCCTGCGCCATAGCGGTCTGACTTTCCGAAAAGGCGAGGACTTTGACGCCAAAACAGCGCCTAGACGACGCCATTCACGACTACTCTTCATCTGGCGAGGCGAGTGAAGCTGGCGAGCAGTCCCTAGCACCAGGACGCCTAGTCGACGACTAGGCGACGCCGTGACAAGCATGGTCGCAGTCAAAAATTCCTAGTTCGCAGTTTGTAATTGATGCCCCCAGCTCGCAGGTTTCCTCACTCGCCATATCTCACGACGCCAGGTTCACCAGCTTCAAGAACTTTTGAATTAGGCGCATCAGAAAAGGGATCCCAGGGGACTTCACCAACTACAATGAACACAGAATTGAAACCGGTTGCACCATCAGTTACGGAATCAGACCTTGAAAAGGATGTTCCGATGGAAATTGTGCAACATTGTTTACCAAACATTAGTTTGGAAGGGCTGAATAAGATTGGTGGCTTCAGATTTGATGATGTTACTTCTATTAAGAACATTCAAGATAGATTGGGGGTAGGAACTACTGGAAATTGGAAGGAAAAAGTGGGTTATACTAGTGATGGTTACGCTGACAGGTTTCTGATGTTTGACAATGGATAATTGGTTAAAATGTAAAGAGAATGCCAACGGTTTGTATACCTAATCAAGAAGCAAGTATAGGTTTCTTCCATTGCTATGAGAAACTCTATCTCCCATTCTTGGTGATCACACAGAAGAAAGTGATAAAGGTTGAAATGCTGCCTGTTGACCTCAATGAACTATATAAACTGTATTTCATTATAATGAATCTTGATGTTAAGAACTATACAAGTAGCTATATTTATAGCAAAAACTAGAGCACTAGGGTTACTATACAAGACGGGCTAACTCCCAATACAACTAGAGTTTCAGCACTCCCCCTCAAATGGGAGCATATAAATTATATGCACCAAGTTTATTACAAATATATTGCATCCTAGGTCCTCTAAGAGACTTGGTTAAAACATCTGCAAGTTGATCTATTGTTTTGACATAATGAGTAGTAATATGTCCATTTGTGATTTTTTCTCGAATAAAGTGACAATCAACTTCAATGTGTTTAGTCCCCTCATGATATACTGGATTGGAAGCAATGTGCATTGCAGCTTGATTATCACACATTAGCTTGAGGGTTTCATGCTTCCGTATTTTAATTCTTGGAGGAGATGCTTCAACCATAATATCTCAAATGAAGCAAGGGCCATTGCACGGTATTCTGCTTCAGCACTAGACCTGGCAACAACATCTTGTTTCTTACTTTTCC